CTCGAGCAGAAACAGGGGGGAAAAGGGCGAACAAAAAAGTCAGGAGAGAGAGGTGAGAGTGGACCTGGTCAGATGACTGCATTTTCCAAAGTGATGCTGTCAGCAACTCTGAGACTACAGATTGTAATTTGGTCTCTGAGAGGTTAGAGTGCCTCGAGCCGAAGCTAAAGGCCAACGATACAGGAGAACATGTACCATCAGCCAAGGACAGCGGGAGAAAAAAGGGCGGGAAAATGTAAGAGTTCCAAGTGAAGGTTAGACGTTTTGGGTTCCCGGCCCAATCTGTATGTACATCTGCTACGAAAAGTAGGAGTGAGGGCCAAAGAAGGATTAAAGAGCCGTCCAGAATCTTGGGGAACTTTTGGAAAGAGTCTTTTGGCTGTGGCACAAATCAAAGGGCATTACCTGGAAACCCACAGTAGAAGGGCAGCGAGTCGACCACCACAGTTACTAGGTCTAATAAAACCCTCCCTGTGGAAATTAGCCGTGATTAGCCACACCTTTAAATCAGGGAACTCCTGTATTTCATGAGGTTTTATAAAAATATAACCGCTGCAGATTCCCCGTGAAAACAGAAGGTTATGAACGATTGATTTCAGAAAGTACCGACGTCCAAAACTCACAGGAAAACTATAGTCTCGGTGCAACAGAAATCCATTCTTCACTGTAGAGATTAGTTTAGATGGTAAATCAGAAGTGGGAGCAAAGATATCAATCAGCAAACAATCAGCAAATTTAATTTTATTAAACTAAATGTGACTATGAAATACGTTACACTATGATAATAATAATATTCTTACACTAATAAAATTGAAATACGTTACACTATGATAATAATATTGTTAGACTAATAAAAGTAAATGACTTAACCACACATCCCTAATACTAACTAGATATGAATCCTTTATGAATAATTATTCACATTTATATGTTAATATTCATATTTTTGAATGTAGAGCAGGAGTGAAAATGTATTTGAGAGCATTACAGTTAGTTCTATTTTCACTCTTTTACACGTTATCAGAGAGAATGATTGACAGCTGAGTTTATTCTCTGAACAGTGTTACAACAGCGTTTAGTCATGCAGTGATAATGATCCCAATATTCCCTCTAATCTATTGACACCGTGCGTCAGTCACAGGTGCCTTCATGTTCAATGTTTTGAATGCGAGTACCTGCTTCTGAACAGCAGAGGCGCTGTTTCAACCGAAGCAGGCATGACGCGGTGGGTCACGTGACAATACGCGGAAGTACAAGCGGGAAGAACGCAGAGGAGGAGGTAGAAGGTAAACATACCGCACGAATTAGTTATAAACAGACTAAATGAAGACTTAACAGGAGGATTTTAGAGACAATAACATTTTTATCTGTGTCTCAAACTAAAGTATACGTTGTCCCAGCATGATTAACCCACGTCACACAAGCAGAGCGATCCTCCGCAGGCTGGTTCTCCTCCAGGTACAGTTTAATCACAATTACAACAAGTCGCTCGTAACAAGGTCAATACCGGAACAATCAGATAAGCGACTGAGGAGGAGCAGCAGCAGCAGCAGGAGGAGAATGTCAAAGACCAGTGACAGCAGAGGAGGAGCAGAGGAGGTGGAGGAGGTGACGGGGTGCAGCCTGAGGAGCTCTTCACCTGCAGCCTTCACACAGGAGGACACGGCCATCCATTCGGTCCACAGAGAAGCGTGTGAGGTGAGATGCATCACTCCGCACGTCCACGTATCCACACATTTCCAATGGTGTCATGTTTGTCCAATCACATCAGCAGTGATGAATGACTCCAACAAACACCAGTGTCCGCTTTACTGATGAGGACATTACAAAGGAATTTGTTTTTAATTAAACAATATGAGATTTAACAATGATCATTTGTTTTTAATTAAACAATATGAGATAAAAAAAATCTTTTAATATTTACTACACCATTAAACAAACATGTGCTGCGTACGATGTCAAATCCTGTCCGAGATTTTTAGTCTGAACCGTCCAATCACTGATCTCTCACTCTCTCTGTATCTAACTTCATGTCAGTACTGTTTGACTGTGGATGGAGTTGAAGCAAGTTGGCCGTGACCCACAGACTAGTATGGTCTGGGTGGTGAGAAAGCCCACACACCACAGAGGGATCCTCAGCTCTGCCAGCTCCACTATGTGGCCCTGCTCTGCCATGTGAAATGACAGGCCCGTGTCACCAAACGGCTCCGGGCTTTTCCCCCCTTTGTGTCCTGTCAAAGCTGGGCAGCCAGCCAGTGGGTTCTGGGTTTGAAACAGACTGAGAGATGACATTTTCTGACTTCCTTGGGGAGCACAGAGGAGTGCAGGAGTGTTTGTGCGTCTGCGAGAGATGAACACCGGGTCCGAGTAACACAACCGATAAAGGCAGTCATTGTTGTCGGAGATGTAATGTTTTTTTAAGCCTCCAGTCGATTGTCTGCGCGTTGAACGCCAGTGCGGCGGCTAGGACAGCGGCAATTAATCAGTGACATCATACGGAGGAGACTCTCCCACATCTGTCTCCGTGTGCACGGGTCACATGTTCCCTCTTCATGTCGACCCAAGGCAATCTGTCTCTGCGTATACCTCGGTATCTGCTGCGATACTCGCATATGCCTTTTGTGTTTGCCGGTGTATAAGAACTCCGCGGGGTTAAGTACGCAGGGGTCAGACGTTTCCATATGTGTTTGTTTGTCACACTAATTAAATAATAATATCTTCATTATATTCAGGCAAAGAAGCAGATGTACGTCGACCCCGTCAGTGGGTACAAGGTGTTCACGGAATATGCCCACCTTCAGAGAGGGAGCTGCTGCGGCAGCGCCTGCAGACACGTGAGCTCTTTATTTCCTGTTTTCCCGGGTTACGTCTTCCTCCACCCCGCTCCGTGTTTTCGTCTGTTCGCTGTTTTGTTTCACTCGTGTATCGTCATCTGGCCTCAGCTGTAAAGTTTTGGTCCTCTTGTGTTCTGCTCGACCCTTCCACTCCCCTCCCCTCTCCTCCCTCGTCCTCCCCTCCTCTCCTGCCTCCTGTCTTTTGTCTGTTGTCTTCTGTTTTCCTACAGAAACAAACATTCAGTCTTATCTTTTGATTTGCTGTCTGGAAAGAAGAAGGAAAAAAAAAAAAAGAACAAACTTTGTGGGTTATTTCTTTCCCACAAATCACAATGTTTCCTGTGTGTGGTGCTGAAGGGCCCTGTACGGAACATGTTGCCTCTCGTGCTGAGAGTGTGGAAAAAATTAATTGGACTGTCAGAAAAAAAATGTGCATTTTGTTTCGTGACAAAATGAACCTGACCTGTTATTTTGTTCCTTATATCATCTGACACCTGATCAACCGTGGGATGAGGGTGAAAAAGTCAACGTTTTGTTGGGCTTTAAATCTAAAGGTGGAGCTCCTGAATGTGAGCAGTGTCACCTCCCAAGGCAGGTGTGAGCTCAGTGTTTGTTAAATTAACCTTCCTGTAAACGCAACCCTGTTAACAACCAAGCAACACACTCCGACGCACAGTCAAAATGTGGAGGTTCAGCCGAAATAAAGGTGTGACTGTTCTACATCTACAGGTTTGGAAGGATATTATAGAGGAAGAAGTGTTGAGATTGAAGAAGGTGAAGTTGAAGGACGAGAATTCCACAGGATGTAGATGAGAAAATGAGCAGTGTCTGTTCAGATTTTGGGTTTGTTACGGTTCTTCCCAAACTCTGGTTCAGGGCCAACTGCTGATCGCTGTAGATATTTTTGTGGTAAAGTAGCGCGGTTCTTCACTGAACACAACCGCCAGTTCCTGTCACCTGAAAGTTAGATGGGAATTGATTCAATTGTGG